TCACCCTGTCATCTCTACCCTGCTATCCTGTTATCCTATAAATTCCTCTAATCCTCTAGGCCTGGCTTCGATCAAGACTGGTAAGAAGAATCCGATTCACAAATACTTTGCTGTAGCTAATCTTAGTGATTATTTGAACCATTCCTATATATACATGTACTATATATTGTAATATTTGTCATGAGCATTTCCATTGTATGCAGATTAGTGGCGCCATATAATCGGCGAGAGAGTCAGAGCGGGAAGAGATATGCGCGTTGTTGGTCATGGGCTTAGCACCGTTCATAATAAACTTCGTTATCACACTGGAAAAACATTATATGGAGAGTCGTTATTACACTGGCCTTTACGTGTTATTACATATTCAATTATACATTGTTAATTAAAGTTGTCGAGTTAAACAAACTTTCTGTGTTAGACGTATTATCTGTTGGTTTCACGCCGGGACGGGTTATTTCTGACCGTAACAATACACATAGCTCTTTTCACCATTCCAACTGCCTCAGAGGGCACTAAATCGGTGCACCAATTCTCATTAAAACAAATTCCAGGACAGAACATTTGTGAGTCTACCACTTTTGCAATCCCAGCTATTACTCTCTAATAACACATAATATTAACCCACTAAACATATTAATATATATAATTAAAACAGAATATTAATATATATAACATGAATATAAAATATGAATATATATATAACATAAATATAAAATATCAATGTATAATAAATAATGATGGCCGACCGGACTCACCATGCGGCTCTGCATGGACTTCAGCGTCGACATGAACTCGGTCGTTCTGTCGCGGCACGTCATGTCTGCGTCGAGCGGGCCGGACCGTGCAGGGCTCGCGTACCGCGCGACGCCGCTCGCCGCGCCTACGTTCAGCGCCCTCTGGTGGGGGACTCCGTTTGTTCGATGACCGTTGCGTGCCTGCGAGAAACATGAGGAGATGGCGTGACGCCAGTGAAAAAAATACACGGGGCTCGGGGCGATTTAGCCCCCGAAATGCCAAAAAGAGCCCCGGAAATGGCAAAAAGAGCCCCTGTAAATTTGCATAGAGTTCAATGCAAACCATTAAAGTGCTATTTTCATGCACGCGAGCTTGAAAAGTAGCCCCCGAAAAATGATTTTTTCCCTGGGTGACGCGGATGAGAGCGCGACCTGCTGCCGCCGCATTAATCGGCGAGGGAACGTGCGAGATTCGCTTGGAAAACGATCCATGGGGCGCTCCCGGCAACGACACGGGACGACGGGCACCTCGTACTCTACGAAAATCAACTTTGACTATGGAAACATCGGAGAAGGAACTTCCGAGCAACGACACACGACAACTGGCATTACTTTACGACGGGTACGTCGCACGCTACGAAAATAATCTCTAATTACGGAAACATCGGCGAAGGAATTTTCGAGCGCTGCGAAGCGTGTGCGGGGTCGCCGCCGGCTGCCCTACCTGGTTGTAGTCGGGTTGAGATTCTCCCTCAGAGGTGCGTCGCCGTCGCGTGAGCATCTGAGAAGCATAGCCACAAACCCATCAACCTGGAAAGCAAACAGGGGAGATTGACCACGGCACGACCACATGTCGATTTAACAGCAACCGAGAGAGGTCGACCGGCAAAGAAATCGATAAAGGTTTGCTATCTAATTCGATTTTTATGAAAGTACACGTTGGTGATTTTGTTAACGGTTTCTCACTTTTCAACAAATTACATTAGGAAATATTATTGGGAAATACACAATGATTTTTTTCAATATTCGTCAAGTAATAAATACGATTGACATCGACCTCACAAATATTTATTCGGTATGTAAGTTGTGAATTTGGTACAGAACCTATCAATCGTAGCAAGTAAGGATTTTTCAAAAAAATTATTGAACATATTGAAAACAGACCGTGCAAAGTTTATACCGTAAACAAACGAAGTTTCACCAAATGAATGAATCAGTTACTTTTTGATCATGCAAGGGCGGTAGGACTTGGTCGACACAGCTCCACTCCCAATCACGAATCGTCGATCAGACTCGTCAGTGTTTTCACTCGCAGCACGTTACCTCCTGCAAATGTGTAGTAACAGGCATAAACCCAGACACATGGCAAATGCTATTGGGGTTCTCCTCAGCCTTTTAATGCAAGACGAGTCCGACATAAAAGCTGGAGCTGATTTGCGGCATCCCATATATACTCTCTGATGTACCTATTACCTAAACTATACGCCTCAATTTCTAGCTGAATTTTCTTTTAACAATCCAAACACAGTCGTGCTGTTTTCACAGCCTGATGTATACTTTCCCTAACTGATCGAGTTTGCCTGTGTATCGTGGCCGCTTATGACACGTGTAATCGAGTCCAATTGGTACAACCCCCTTCACGGGCCCTCCCCCATTCATTCATAGATGACATGAGTACTGAAATTCCCGAGCAGAACAATGGCTACACCACGAGGCAGTTTGTCTTCTGTTCCCTTTGCTATCACGGCTCTAGCTCCCTCAATTCAGAGAAGCATTGCATGCTAACTGTGAAAATGATGGCTCATGCATAGTTCAGCACCCCAGATTAGTTAAGCACATATATGCAAAAACGCATTTGCGAGGTCCCAAACTATCCTTGATCTAAAGTGATTAGTTAATCAATCAATGAACTAACGATAAGTTGACCGACTTCCTGCGTCAAATACGGCCCTAGTATAGAAAACATGTCCCACAATACTTCATGTCTACAATACAATATACAATGGGTCATGTCTTCTAGACTAGTGCCTCAAATACCGCTAATGTAATTTCAACGCATCAATCGAGTTGATTCTCGTAGGTTGTTTTGAACCGCCTACTAGCAGTTTGTTTTGAAGATGGAAAGGCATCTGAGGACACTTCACTTTTATATGAGGTAGCAGGCAAGATTAAATGTGTCGCATAACAGTCTGCATTCCGTTTACAGGTAAGAGGCGTAATGTTGACATAACAATGTTGTCATGATTGCTGATTGCGTGATGGTGATCAATGACTGTGTATTCCCGTCTGTGTAGTCCGAGCCGACGCAGACCCTAGTAATGCGGTTAAACCCGCACCCTCAGATTAGCAAAAGCGGAGTTATGACGTCTGCATTTGCGGACTACCGTCTGTGGTGCTGTGTGACCCAATTTAAAACTAAAAGTAAAATACTAAAAGGGACTATCCGACCAGCATGGATGCTATGGTCGCTGTCCCATACAAATCGCCCCTAAACTTGTTTACAGTCATTCGGAAGTCGCAGAACGGGGAGCCTACTGCAACACTACTTGCCTAGCGAAGGAAATAAATTAAACGTTATTATTATTATTAATATTACTAATACTAGGCCCCTAATCCACTAATCCACTAATTGTAAACAGCTGAGCCGATTCGTACTTCAAAGTTGGGAGTCGTGATATTGGTGTCATTAGCCTTCGACTGGGTTGGAGTGTGATCACCGGACGTAGTGGCAAGTAGGGTTCACGTCTACCATAACCAAAGAGCGCTCGTCTAACACAAATACATTAAATTAAGCTTTACAACTAAAAATCACACGTATCAACTACCAACTACAGAAATATTGTTGCAATACGTCACCGACTAGGAACTGCTCAATTATTTCACGCGATCTTGTGTGCGCCACCTATCGATCGCCGGGGCAATAGTCCGCTAAATACGTAAACTTCAATATAAAAAATAGGCCCTACCACTAGCCACTATGAAATCATTGAAATTCTGATCGTGCATGAGCCTGGCATGGACGAAACAGTTGCGTAAGCATATTCCTTTTAAGTTTGTTAAAATTCAAATAGGAGTCCAAGTACATGAATCTATTTTATATATATACAGCAATTCAGATTAATTCCGCGTACGGTGTAGATTCGATATTGTTGACGTTGTATGACATCATACATTCATGATGTAGCGATTGTAGCCTACATCTCTCCGTCTCACGTACATTTATGCTTTTTAATTTTATACTGGGCTGTTGACAATCGGTTCGATTTCAGGATTTGTAAATTGGCAAGATTGCAGTGCTCCTCTCAAATCTCTTGAACAGTCATTGTTCAACTATCTTGTGTCAAGTTTCTGACAGAAAAAGTGTGTGTGTGTGAAAAGCTAGCTTTAGTAGCGCCCTAATCCTAATCCTAAACCCTAATCCTAAACCCTAATCCTAACCCTAACCATATCAAATAGTGACCAGGGTACGTTCCGGCATTACCTTGGGGGACATAGACCCTATGAGCTTTAGTAGCCCAATTATTTGTGTATGTTTACAGAATTTAACATACACATATGTTAGAAACGAGCTGCCTCGGCGCTTCGCGTCTCTGCAGCTGTAGGCGAGGCGCTACGTGCCTCGGCATTCGATGAGAAAATGCCCTGTTTGAGAGCTGAGACAGGGACACTTTGAAACCATGAAACTGCATAAAATGTGCCAATTTGGCTGTATTTGTGTGCATATTTTGTGCATAAAACAAAAAAACTGCCGAATTTCTGTAACACGTCCGTCCAAGTTAACAGCTCAATCCGAGTAGGCAAAATAACAGGTGTGCGCTACCGTCCTGCGAACATCCGCTCACGTGACTCACTAGCTTCGCTTGTAGCTGGTTGTCTACGGTCGCGCTGTGCAGCGCGGTATTACGGTGCACTGGGTGTACGCGGGCGAGCAAGTACATCGCAGCAGTAACAGCAGCAGTAAGACGCGCCAAATATATAAATAGATATTTCATAGATAACCTCAAAACCTCGTAAATATCAGTCTTCAAAAGTCCTATAGGGACTATAATGAAGTACGATTTATATATAAATATATATATATACCGTATTTAATAAATATATATTAATATTGATATATATATGTATATATATATATATTTTATTCATATATATTATATAATATATATGATTAAAAAAGGACGTAGTTTTAAAAAGGATATTTCCTCGAGAGCAGCTGCATTGATGTAGTTCTAACTGTTTGTATCTTTAGGTTGGATTTGTATTAGTCGACTACGGCTGCAAAATTTCCGCAAAACGGTCTCTGTAACATTTGACACCTCGGCCATTGCTCGGGCGAGTGCGGTAACGTGCACAGGCAAGAACTTCGGCCTCTCTCCACGAACAAGGAACATGGCAGCTGCGGAAATATGCAAGATTCTGCAGGAAAGAATAATGGTCCTGGATGGTGCTATGGGTACAATGATTCAGGTAATAAAGCAGCCTAACCAGGCTGTGGGGCTAACGTCAATGCAATGGTCTCTCAACACATAACCATTTCTTATAGAGCTATATATTAGAGCTAGTGTATGAGTATAGGGCGTGGGCAGACATGCAGACACATATGCAGGCGTCTGACACAGTGCCGAATACACATATCTACACAGACACACAAATACGCGGGCAGAGATACAGCATCATAGCATGTATTGATGACACACATACACACACACTTATGCACACATGTACATGCACAGCACACACACACCAGGACTGCGCACAAAGACATGCACAGATCGCCAACACATGCAGCCACACACACAAACACAACACACACACACACACGACACAACCCATCACGACACACACATAAAACACACCACACCCAACACACCACGACCACACACACCACACATGTGCGCACAGACTGACATACAAACGCAAGTGTGCGTACGTCTGCGTTCATCATGGCTTCTCCGCGTTTACTTCCGCAGCGCCATCGCTTCGATGAGGATTCCTTTCGAGGCGTCGAGTTCAAGGACCATCCGAAGTCGCTGAAGGGTAACAACGACCTGCTGAGTCTCACCCAGCCAGATATCATCTATGGCATTCACAAGGTACGTGCTAACGAGCTTGCTAATGAGATCTAGTGAGATTGCCTAACGAGCTCACGCGACCATGTAAACTGCCCGCCGCATATCTCCGGCGACTAGGGGGGTGGGGGGGCAGATGACGGTAATCGAGGAGGGGAGAGATTTTTTTATGTATTTATGTATTTGGTGAGGGGTTTGAATTTTTCTATCAACCTAGGCATTTTTATATCAATGATTTCTATCAATGATTTTCTATTAATTTTTCTATCAACCTAGGCTATTTTTCCATCTACAAGTTGCCCTTAGGCATACTATGTCGTTGGCATCTACGGACATGATGGCAAAGTGTTGGTGAAGTTTTCAATTGTGACGGTCGTCGATTTAATAGGGAAAAAATTGGGACCATTTACAGCCTGTTTGGTAGCAGGAAACTATGGGTTCACTATGATATGGGCTACTGACCTTGCTTCCATATCTCTCCGTGTAGACCTATCTCTCTAATTGCCCGATTGAACTCAAACTGAGCTATTTGTCTGCCTGTAATGATTGACAGGTAGCGCTGGCAAATCAACGCTGTGTTAGGACATTCTAAAAACAACGGTCAGTAACGAATTCCCGTAAGGTCATCATGTTGGCTTGCACATGGGTACGACCATTTACACACTGGGTGATCTTGACCACCTATAGAAATAATATCTAAGGCATGTGAAGTTGCCTTGCTCACAGAGCCATTGCAGTTATCTCTGTAGAGGCAAGGCTGGTAGGAGGTGGCAGCTAGTTATTAAGGACAGATTGTTGCAGCGTCAGGCTCCTACGAGGAACCTTCAATCATCCGTTGCAAGACTGTTTCAGAACTCCTGAACTTCGCTTCGTTCACTTGCCGTCTGACGGCGTCGTTTGTTTGTTTGTTTTACAGGCTTACCTAGAAGCTGGGGCTGACCTCATAGAGACAAATACATTCAGTGGCACGCGCATCGCTCAGTCTGACTACGGCCTAGAAGATCAGGTACGTTACACCTTGACCTGGGGTTTGAATTTTGCCAAGGCAGCAGCAAAAGGGCTGTGGTTGCCTTCGCTTACTTGTTGCTATGCGTCGAAAGTTTAACGATGCGGACGGTGAGGGAATATGACGACCATCATACCTTATTGTCCTCCATGTCCTTTTTATGAATTACACGTTCTGTGTGTTTTCTTATACATCCCCCACGTCTATGAAAATGTTGATGGAAAGGAAGTAGCCTTGGTGTTGATCCATTAAGGGAAATGTTTATCGTCGTGCACTGAAGATTTTGATATTAAATCCAAGGCAGCTTTTGTCTTGCATTACAAAAATGCGTTCCATCGCTGGTCCTTGTCACACCAGAGTGGTCTGCTCATTGTTGCGAGTGATTAGAATTACATTTATATCATTGTATTTGGCTTAAGTTTCAATTTCTAAGTGTATATGAGGTGAAGCAGCTCAATCGTCCGCCTTAAATATAATAGTGGAATGATCTTTCATGAATAATACCTGCAGAGTTTGTTTTTCACGCAAATGATGCCTCTCCAAACCTCCGAAAACAATCGGATCAGTCACACTTGTTTCTAGCAGAGACGACATCCACTTTCGCACGCCGCTCCCTACGTGCCGTGGCCCAAGGTTTGGTAATCGTCTCCGTTTTTACCTGTCGCTGCAGGCTTACCGCATAAACAAAGAATCGGCCCAGGTCGCGAGGAGAGCAGCAGATGACGTTGCCACGGCGACAGGTGAGTCGCACTCGCTTCTTACCATTCTTGCTGTTTGTAAACTTCATCATTGCTTTTTCAACGCTTCACTGACCCCTACGGGAGTCGGATGAATAAATGAACAAACGAACGAACCAACGACCTTGCTTTCGTAACTCGTTAACCTAGTCTGCATAATTGAGCTTCGCACATGCACGCCACAGACGCACGCGGAATTGTCGCAGTGAGATCGTGTGCGCAAATACCAGGTCATTTTGCGATGAGCCAACGTAATGTCGTCGGGTGGATTAAGAAATGATAGAATGGACGATGATGTTGTTGATGGTGATGATGAATGGACGAATGGATGATGATGTTGGATCGATGATGATGATGATGTATTTGTTGATGATGATGTTGATGATGATGATGAATGGAAGAATGGATGATCATGTTGGATGGATGATGATGATGATGTTGATGATGATGATGAATGGACGAATGGATGATGATGATGATGATGGTGATGATGATGATGATGAATGGACGAATGGATGATGTTGATGATGATGATGATGTTGATGAGTTGTTTCGTTGACCAGGCATTCCTCGATACGTAGTCGGCACACTGGGACCAACGAACAAGACTCTGTCCATCTCGCCGTCCGTGGAACAGCCGGCCTACAGGAACGTCAGTAAGTACACTCGCGCTCGCTGCGTGCACGATTACGAAGGGAAAGCCTGACATCCAGCCAACCATCGATCCAGACACACATAGAGCCATATGGGCAGACAGTCGCCCAGCAAGCAAGCTAAACAGCAGTACTGGGGCCCGTTGTCAGAAACAAAATTACTCTTAGCTTACATTACATTAGTCTTAACATTACTCTTAGCATGCAATTTTTCACGTAGATTGGACCTCTACACATTGCGTATGAGGAACTCGTGACTTCAACACGTTTCTGTCGAGGGTGGACAAGAAAAAGTCGATGCTAGTATTAAGACTGATTTGATTTCTGATTTTGATTCTTGATTTATATCTCCTTGGTTTTCTTCTGGCTCGCATTCCCATCTGCAATAACGAGGGCTCGCAAGAGATGCCGACGCGGGCTAGCCGTGTCCAGAAGCGTGAGCGGGTGTCCAGTGGTTGAGGAGTCAATGTTTGCATCGCGTTGGCTGCTTCGCGTTCGCTCCTGTCTTGTACTCGCTGTTCTTTGACCGCGTGCGTTTGCTGTCTCGCAGCCTTCGACGAGCTGGTGTCCAACTACCTGGAGCAGGGCCACGGTCTGGTGGATGGCGGGGCCGATGTTCTCATGGTGGAGACAATATTTGACACGGCGAATGCCAAGGTGTGTGTGTGCGCTGCGTGCGTGCGTGCGTGCGTGCGTGCGTACGTGCATGTATGTGCATGTGCATGCATGCAAGCTTCGTTTGGGTGTGTGTATGTGTGGGTGCACGCGTGCTTGTGTGTGCGTGAATGCGTTCGTGCGTGCGTATTTGCATGGGTTTGTAAATGCGGGCGTGTATTGGTGTGCTTATGTGTGCGCTCATGCGTACTTCTGCGCATGGATTTGTGCATGCGTGCATGTGAGTGCTTAATTATGAGTATAGAAGTGAATGTATTGTTGTGGGTGCTGCCCCCCCTTCCCCCTCTTCCTCCCCCTCCCCCTCCCCTCCCCCTGTTTCAATTTCATCCTGGGGAGAACCCTGGGTGCACATGTTTGCGTGCATGCATGCTGCGTACGTGTATGGATATGTGGTTGCGGGCGTGTGAGTGCATATGCACGTGCGTGTGAAGTGAGAATTACAAACGTTTAAAAGTGACCAAAAAGATACAGACAATTATGGAGTCCGTAATAAAATTTACAGTAGCTCTAGTACTATAGCCCGCTTACATTAACTGCCGCTGGCAGTTAATGCCAGTGGCAGTTAATGCCAGCGGCAGTTAATGTAAGCGGGCTATAGTACTAGAGCTAGTAGTTACGCAGCTTTTCGAAAGGCTGAAAAGGAAAAGTCGAAAGCACACAGAAAGAATGAGTACATGCAAATAGTATGCTGATAAGAGGAGAGTTGTGCAAAACTTTTTATGGTGTCCTATATCATCAGCCAGCTAGGTGCTCAATGACCTAGTAAGTTTATTTTACTGGAGGGGTTGCAGGCATAAATCAGTGCCACTAGCAATCCATATGTGAGTATGGCATATACGCTATGAACTATAGTACCTATAAATTGATTTTCAGTAAAAGTAATTGTTGCTTCCTGAAATTTGCAGGCAAGCCTACCAGAAATTCCTGGAATGATTATAACTATTGAATGAATATTGTATAAATACATGTATAGACCATATGTATTAGCCAAACCCATGATAACTAGCATGTAAATATTATACCAAACAATATTATGCTAATTCAACACGGAATTTGTGTCAAATCATTATAATGCATAGCTGGTCTGCTACTCTCGCTTACATATGGCTAGTGTCACTGAGGGGACTACCTGCACCCCTTCAGTAAAATGAACTCAATTGGGCATTAAGCACATTGCTGATACTATGGTTAACAGAACTATAAAATGTTCTGTGCACCTTTCCTTTTACAGTGTACTATTTGTATGTACTTGTCTTTTTTTCTGCATGTTTATAGGAGATTTGCAGAAAGTTCCGTAACTGCCCATAAATGTTATTACAGACTCTCCGTTCCTAATATTTTTTCACTTTTCTGCATAGTCCTCAATGCTCAATTCAAAGTGTGTGTGAGTGTGTAGGCGCACGTGCTTGCTTGTGTGCATGCGTGCATGCATGTGTTTTACTGCATATAGTATACGTGCATGTATATGCACGCGCGTGTCTGTGCTGCAGTCAGTGCAGTGCATGTGTATGCACGCGCGTGTGTGTGCTGCAGTGCATGTGTATGTGCATAAGTGTGTGCACGTGTGTATGCGCACGAGTGTGTGCATGTGTATGTGCGTGCGTGTATGTATGTGTATGTGTGTGTATGTGTGCATGTGTATGTGCGTGCGTGTATGCATGTGTATGTGCATGCATGTGTGCATGTGTATGTGTGTGTGTAGTGTGATCATCAAACTGTGTACTTTATTTATAATGCAGAATGGAACAGTATCTACCTATTCGGTTGCCTAATGTTACTTAGCTATGCCATACTGTACGTGTAAACGTTGGCAAATTGCTCCTAAACTAGCATATTTCTGTTGCATAACTGGAATAACACTTTCATAATGTTATGTGATAAAAAACGCACAAAAACATGTTGACTTTTTCCCCTCCAGGCGGCGCTATATGCAATTCAGCTGCTCTTCGAAGAACTGGGCAGAAGACTTCCATTGTTTGTGAGTGAAGTTTCCTTCGGCCCTTCGGCCCACGTGTTGATTCTGGCATTGTACTATCTGCCTCAATATCTGCGTTATGGACGTTCATTTGTTACAGCAGTTGCCAGCCATTACGATTAATTACCACACGTGCCTGCATGTGTAGGCAAAAAATGGGTCCTATTGTTGAGCTAAAGATTCAAAGAATTTAACATCGCAGTTTATATTCGTCACATTGCAGTATATGTTAGAGGTTTTGGGATTCGGAATGGGCCACCATGTTTGTTTATTACGCCACTCCACCATAGAAGTCCAATGAAGCTGTCTGGGAAACAACCGCGAATGCACGGAGGCGGAGTGCGAACCGGCCCGACGAGTCGCGTGTATTTGTAAACAGCGCGGTAGCCGGTTGTTTTTGCCAGGTTTCCGGGACCATCGTTGATAAGAGCGGCAGGACGCTGTCCGGCCAGACTGTTGAGGCATTTACTGTCAGCACTTCCCACGCCAAGCCACTCTGGTGCGTGTCCATGCGCGTTCTTGACGCCATCTAGCGAGAGAAAATGCAAAGTATGGGGGAAGAGGCTCCTTTAACATGACGTTACGGCGCCCCGTACACGTCTTACAGTCGCAACACAGTGCAGTGTCTTCGGCCAGTGAGAAATTCGCGTAGTCTTTTTCGTCTCCCTGCAGATGGTTCGGTTAGAGGTATAGCTCTAAGGGCAGTAATGAGATGACATGTACGCGACTGCATTTTACATTATTTTGCCAGATTACCCCTCGTGCCTATCGATGGCAAAGCCACAGAGTGTGGGCTAATGAGAATTTATTTAATTAATTACTTAATTAATTTATTAATTACAGGACTTTCGCTCCGTTGACTGTCTGGTTGGGACGGTGGTAATTTTGAGTTGGTGTCAGCAGATTTTTAAGTTTGGGATTAATTCAGCTTTGAAGTTCTCACAGTATTGTACTCGTTGTCATTATGTTACATATTCCTCATATTTACACTACACATAGGCTTGTACTTACATTACCTGTAGACTTGTAGCTACATTGCATGTACCTTTATACTTACATTACATGTATGTTTAGAATTACATTACATGTATCATACATGTAATGTAATTCTAAACATACAGTATGTTTAGAATTACATTACATATAGACTTTCACCTACATTACGCTAACATCTAGCCATATACTTACATTACATGTAGATTTATGCCTGTATTACATGTGGACGTATTACCTACAGTACGTGTAGACTCATGCCTATATGCTGACCTCTGTGTGACCTTGCATTGCTTGTATTACACGTACGACAGCCTCGGTCTGAACTGCGCTCTGGGAGCAGACGCCATGAGGCCGTTTATCGAGACGATCAGCATGGAAACGACGTCGTACGTGATCTGCTATCCGAACGCCGGAATGCCGAACACGTTCGGTGAATACGACGAGACGCCGGAGACGATGGCTCAGATGCTCGGGGTGCGTGCGTGTTTGTGTGCGTGCGTGTGTGTGTGCGTGTGTTTTTGTGCATGCGTGTGTGTATGTGTGCATGTGTGTGCGTGCGTGTGCGTGTGTGTGTATGTGTGCATGTGTGTGCGTGTGCGTGTGCGTGTGCGTGTGCGTATGTGTGAGTGTGTGTGCATGTGTGCGCATGTGTGTGTGTGTGTGTGTGTGTGTACGTGCGTGCATGCATGCATGTGCACCCGCGTGTGTGCTAGCTAACCTGTGTGTATGTGCATGTGTGGGTGACTGACACTGACTGCATTCAGTATATCTGTATATCTCTGATCCAAGATCTTTGTTACTGTTTTTAAAACAGCACGTTAATCTATAAAATCTGTTAAGTGCATTTCGTTGTTAAGCCAGGGCTACACACGGATTTTACCACAAAGTCTGACTCATCTTCGCTCAGGGACACACTAATCTGCAGGCATATCTATAAATATTTCGTAGCTTATATCTCTCTTCCACAGAAAACTTCTAAACATGTCATTAAATCCAATGAACTGAACTTTGATGTAGCTGACATTATTATAGATATCATTCTCTACAGCTAGGATACTGTATATCATCATGAACATGTATAAATCATCGTCTTGTTACCGGGGTTTATCTGTTCTTCATTGATGTCAGGATGTTGCCCACATCAGTGGAATAGCCTACATTATATATATACTAACGAATGCTAATAGTGAGTGAGAAGGTTTATGAGCTGCAGGGTATTTGAGGGGTGAAAAAGTAGGATGCAACCTTATGGTAAGCGTGTGTCTGATAGTGGGGAGGGATTTTCTGCAGGTAAACACATTTTAGATGATCACCTTCTCAATTTTGGGGATCGTCCAAATGCATCAGAGCATCTTATAAAGTGTGAAATATTGTGCTCACTTCCCTCTGTCAATTAGACAAGTAGAACAACAGATAATTGTATAAGGTTGTAAACCACCTCATAGCAATACCGGCGAATAGATATCTGATCCATGGGATGTCAGGTACCAGATCGAAAAACCCCCACAAATTTCGGCACCTGCACTGCAACAACAACGCATTCAAATCCTACCCGTGGGTGTTGTGGAAGCAACGGACGTTGAAATTTTTAAGTCAAGGCTTCACTCCCACATGCACGCGAACCCACTTTAAGAGGACACCAGTTGCATTGCACTCACATCATCATTATGCACCTGTTTGTTTATTGGGTTTATCCCTGGAGGCACTTACTATATCCAGTGTAGTGGACGCCGACAAGTACAAGAACATAACATAACAGAACAAAATTTCATTGACTACGGGGTTTGTGTTGATGCAGTTCGGTCAGCGTGAAGGACATGCATCTATATTATTGGACACTGATCATTGTGTGATATTGTTGCAGTCATTTGCCAGGGATGGACTAGTCAATATTGTTGGTGGATGCTGTGGTACCACACCGGCACACATTAGGTATGTGGATGCGTGTGCACTCATAGTCATAATATAATATATGTACATGTATATGTATGCGTACATGCACATATGTGTACACATAGGCATAATATAATATATCTACATGTACATGTACTCGTACATGCACATATGTGTACACATAGGCATAATATAATATATCTACATGTACATGTACTCGTACGTAAACATAAACACATAAAACATAAT